TATATTTTATGGGGGTAGGGGGGTGCAAGACAGGGATGGGTCAAATGTACAGGTGGGAGGATACGTAGGTAACTGGAAGGGATAATAAGTAAAAGGAGAGGGGAGCAGAACAAATCAAACCATAACATGACATGCCCAAATGGGACAACAAACAGCAATAGGATGCAGGGAAGTCTGCAGGAAAGTCCAGTTTATCACTAAATATCCCTCTCTTATAAAAGTAAAGTGACACTAAACTCAGGAGTTCAATCTTAAAAAATGCATTTAACTACATATTAACAAAAATGTATCTTATTTGTGTATCACTCGGCTGTGTGGTCACTGTGTGTGTTGTAAAGTAGTCACCGCTAACTCCAGTGATGGACTATAACTTCAATACAAATTATTAAACTAAACATGAGGTTGTAGTCCATCATGGGAGTGATCTTGGTGCGATGGCTATGTTACAATCGTGAGCTAAAGCAGAGACACCGGCACTCCAAATTTGCAAAATACGTCAATTTATTGACGTGCATCGTGGTAATTTGGAGTGCATCACTAATCGCTAATTTGGAGTGCCAAATGGAGTAGACGTATTTTGCAAATTTGGAGTGGCGGTGTCTCTGCTTTAGCTCACGATTGTTACGGCTGCCACCCGTTGACTACTGCAGCACCCAATTTTTGAAGGGATTCACGCGGTAAGGAGTGCGATGGGACCATGGACGGGCTATGTTACAACACACACAGAGACCATGGGAAACAAAAGTAGCCGCCCTCCAGAAGGAAGGACTGCGTCAGCACCAATTCAGAGGTGATTGGAAGATCTACAGCTGAGTGATACACAAATAAGTTACTTTTTTTTTTTTTTAATATGAGGGGTACTTAATTGCATTGTTAAGATTTAACTCCTGAGTTTAGTTTCACTTTAAAGTTGGGGACACCTAAAAAGAGCATTGCGCTCACTCTGTTGGTGGGGGTGAGGTATGAGTGGCTCCCAAATTAACAGGAGAATCCAGGTGGCCCATGTACCATAGAATAGATATTGTTCGTATTGATCTTTTCAAGTGTTCTGACTTCATCATATCCATCACCACATTATTCAAATCTAAAAAAGTTTTGGTTTTAGATATACTTTAAGGCAACATGGGTTTTAACACTTGCCATAACAAATACTTTAAAAGATTTGTAAAAACTGTTCCTATGGATTGAAAGAACAACATGTTATACTAAACCAGCACAATTCTCAATGTTTGTCAGTTGTACTAGTATGTTCAAGTGTGCATTTTGCCTGATAAAAATATGACTAATCAGAGTCATGTTAGCTAATAAACACCATTAGAATAAGATTACAGATGACCAATATCACAGATTCTACAGTCAGTTTTACACAGCAATAACACCAATATCAGGCATGATTTAAGAGCTTAAACCTCCCAACTATGGGAATATTGTTTTACCTTGGTTTTCAATGTAACTTGCATTGGCACTATCTATCCATAAACTATCTATCTATCTATCTATCTATCTATCTATCTATCTATCTATCTATCTATCTATCAATCTATCTAGCTCTTAATCCATCTACTGTTTTTAAATTGATATTTTTATCTACTGGTTGAATATATTGAATGGTTTAAGCTGTTGAATTTTGGTAATCTGTTTTTAGCAATATGTATAAGTTCTCTATTCTGTCTGAAAACATGGCCACATTTTCCCCCATAACAAATCTCCAAACATTGCTATAACTAAATATACATATTTTATTTATGTTTCAGGAACAGAAAGCACAATATGATTTTTACTGCAGAATAAGTGAATATTTTCTTTTTTGTTTTCATTTTACATATAATAATATTACACATACATAATCATTTACATATACAATACGTTATTGCACAGCTTTCTTCAATATAATAAGAAGCGAATCTTACCATATTTGACATGTAAGTGTATTAAACCAGAAAGATTTCATAGGGTTCGTGTGACAATAATGCATTTTGGGAAATGTAACAACTTAAGTGAAGCTATTATGATGCTACAAAGCAGGCTGTAAACTGATAACAGCAATTAAAGTAAGTATCCTATTGCAGCATGTTAGTACATAATAAGAGCTCCCTAACAATGTGTCAAAAATTTAAATTGTCTTTATAGTCTCTTATACTATCAAATTTTCCCGACCTTTTCCCAACTGTCACTTTCTAGTGCAGGTTTTCATCTGATTGGCCAATACAGAGTGAAATAGTTCTATTTTTAAGCTTTCTAATAAATGACACAAAGGGGTCTATTCACATAGCTGCCGAGGGCAGCCGAGTGAATGACCGATCAGAAGTGAAGTGAGCCGAACACCGTTCGGCTATTCACTTCAGGCTGGTACGGCTGATTTCAGCCGTATATCGGCTGAAATCAGCCGTACATCGGCTTGCTTCGTGTGGCTTCGGATAAGCCGAACATGCTCAGCATGTTCGGCTGACCCGAAGTGCAGAAGGAGTTCGACTCAGCCGATCCAACATCTGGATCGGCTGAGCCGAACCTCCGGCAGGCTTCACACTGCTGTTCGGGCTATTCTGAAAGATCCCGAACAGCAGTGAGAGAATAGCCGAATGCCGCCGAGCGGCATTTGGCTCGGCTGTTCTGCTCGGTCCCTCAGAGGCACCGAGCAGAACAGAAAAAGAGTGAAAAAAGTAGAAAAAAGTAAATAGAAAACGATTGTGCAGAGCTAGCAGTGACAGCTAGCTCCGCCCAATAGTTTCCTATTGTCCGGCGGCTCTGCTGCTTTAAAAAAAAAAAAGTTAAAAAAATGTAAAAACTCTCCCTGGGGCCCCGGGAGCCCCCCGCTCCTGGCCGCCAAGGAGAGAAACACAGCTGTGTCTTTTTTTCTTCATTCTGGCACGAGCGATGTCAGAATAGAGGAAAAAAAAAATTCCCATTCAAAAGCATTGAGAGTTTACTATTGGCTATTTCAATTTGCAATAGCCAATAGTAAACTAGCATTGTTCCCGCCCTCTGCTGGTGGACCTGGTGGGGAACTGCAAAAGAGGGCGGGTACAATGCTAGTTTACTATTGGCTATTGCAATAGAAATAGCCAATAGTAATGTCCCAATGCTTTTGAATGGGTTTTTTTTTTTTTCTCTATTCTGACATCGCTCCGTGTCAGAATAAAGAAAAAAGACACAGCGGGGTTTTTCTCCTTGGCGGCCGGGAGCAGGAGACTCCCGGGGCGCCAGGGAGAGTCAGATGCTTGGAGATCAGTGTCCCTGGTTAGCAACCAGGGACGCTGATCTCTCTGAAAGTGGCCGGAGCCAGCCGTAAGATCACGGCTGGCTCCGCCCAGCTGTCAGTAGCAGGCTGTCGGCCAGCCAATGGCCGGCCGCTCGGCCAGCTTCGTCTTTCAGCACGGCTTAGCGCTCGACTGAGCCGCTCGGCCGTGATCGGGAGCTGTACGGGCTATTGTGAATAGCCCGTACAGCACCCCCTCTGTTCTCCTGAACCGAAGGGGTCCTGGTGCCGAAGCTAGCCGAAGGATCGGCCGAAGCTACGGCCAGATCCTTCGGCAGCTTTGTGAATAGACCCCAAAGACTTGTTTCCATCATGTTCTTTCTGTGATTAACATCTAAGCAACCAGGTATTTTGGATAGTATTTAAACCTACCCTATGAATTTGGAAGATGAATGGCATTAATATTACATAGAATGAATAATACTGACAACAGACCGATAAAATTAGCATTTTCTCCAGTTTAAAGTGTATGTAAATCACAAATATATGCCCTACTGTATACAGTGTTCTTAAGAACTTTACACACCAATTTAATGTCTCCCAAAACAGTTACTTTTAAGACATGCCAATTGACAAGGTTGCCAGTGTGCTTATCTCAGCTCTCAACTTTTAAGCTCTCAAATGACTGGTTTCGTAGCTGATCACATGTGAAGCACCATGACAACTGCAAACCAAATTGAGGTTAAGTTGGCACCTTCCTTGGCTGTAAAGGATAGGAAGTTCTTGTTCTGCTTTTTAAGCATATATGTTTTTGGAAATCTGTTGCAAAGTTTATTACCTTGATTTGATAAACATGTTAGGCAGCTCAAATGAAGAAGCTCATACTGCAGGATGACTTCGCTGCGGCTAATTTTAAGGCAGTGTCTCAGCATTGTCGGCCTGCAATAGGAAGTGCCGTTACTGGCGTGATCTCCAGGTAAGAAACAGTTTAACAAAAACAATTTTCTTAGGAAAACTATATACAGTGAGATATGATGTCAAATATACATTTAGGGTTTGCACACACTTTAAGGTGAATATGTCATAATAAACAGGTTTACCATGCAGGCACGTAGAAGTACCTGCACAAATCTGAAACAGCCTCGAAGATCCTCCTTTCCTGTCTGAATGTTTGACCATTTTAATAGGAAACATCTGTGCATTTTCTGATAGTACACACTCTTGCCTGCCTATGTCTCACGCTGATTTCTATTTGCCAGTAAGGTAGCCCATGGTATTGGAGGGCTAACAGGAACAGTGCTTTGCTTGCGAGAATGGCCTTGCATTCAGCAGCAAAAGTAGGGTATTAGAGGCTTTTGCAGGTATTTGACAACAGTCTTTATTCCAAAGGCCATCATGGCCCCCAGCAAACATGGCTGAGCCAATCATTCTCAGGGGATAAAGTGATCAGCTAGGTAAGATTTTCACAACTGATCACTATTGTCTGAGATATGTGGCACACAAGTGACCCGTCTGTCCTTCATATACCCAACTTGAAAGTTTTCCCAATGACATGTAGAAAAAGAAATAGCAGACGGATCATGCATGCATAAACAGCTGTCATCTGAAGTCTGTAGTCACCTATAGTCCCTTTCTAGAGGTTTCAGAGAAGAAAAGAAACATCACTGCAGTTTATCAGGCAACTACATTTGTTAGGTAACTACAACTAACTTGAACTTATTCAAGGTTCATGTTCAGCCTTCTTGTGCGGTGTAGGAAAATATCGCATAGATTTTTCGTCTAAGCCTACAATTGATACTTGTCTACATGTATAACATTAATATTATTAGGAAGTACAGTCTTAAGTTACACAAGCAGAAGAGCAGGATCCTGGTTTTTATTAGGTCAACATGGTGTCCATAAAGATTTATTTTGCAATACCTTCCTTTTAGTAGAATTACCAGTCACAAGTGTGAATGTAAAGCAAGCTGTAATTGCAGTTTACTGGCCACAACAATCCACAGTCAATATATGGGCACTTCACACCTTCTCTAGATGTCTTGCTTTTCACAAGTCTTTGTGGTGGGTGGCCGTTAGTTGTTGACACAAGCCAGTTGATCACCATGTTTTGCAAGTCATCAACAGTCATATAGTACAAGGCTGAAAACACAGTTTACGTACTGATGAATTGTCCATGTGTTTTTTCTTTCCCAACCTAGATAGTGAGCAAAAACCAGCATGTCCATGATGATTGTTCTGTAGCGTTGGTCTTAGATGCAGTGCATCTAAGCTCATATAGATAACATGACTTTCAAAAGGCTAAACAAAGTTGTAATCAGCAATGTCGAAGTTAAAAGCAGAGATGAACCTCCAGATGCTGAATTCGAGGCCTCTTTTGTCTTGACAGGAAGGACTTGCATTGTATGTCCTTTTGCCTGCTGAATGGTACAATAAAAAGAAATATTATACCCAATCACCATAGGTATCACTATAGTCAATGCAATGGACCTAGAAGATCCGGGGGGCCAGTAAACGTTCTGTTTTTTCTGCCTATATAATAAATAATGCAATTGTGAACTAATTAGGACAGCTAAAGGATAAGGCTTATATACATATATAAATAAGTATAAAAGCAGTCTGAAACAAATCTTTCATGTGGATCATGCATAATTGCCAAGTAGGTAAAAAAAGAATTTAAAGGAGAACTATGAGGTGAGTGAACCTCATAGTTCACCTCATAGTTCTAGCCGACCTGTGACAATGAGACTGTCACAGGTCGGCTCAGTAGATCGGGAGGTGAGCGAACACATACCGGGTTCGCTCGCCTCTCGATCCTGTCACGGCTCTCTGCCGTGACAGGGGGAGGGGCTGGATTCCCCTCTCCCCGCTCCGATCTGCCAGCGCTGACTGGCAGAACGGGAGGGGGGGGGGGGGGGTACGGCTGGCTCTGCCTCTAGATAGGCAGAGCCAGCTGTCACACGCAGCTGGGCAGATCCCGTCATCTACGTCGGGATCCTTTCCGGCTGCGGCGTCTCAGTATACCGCGAGCTGTAGCTCGCGGTATACTGAGCTTAGGGTAACGGGAGGACGCTAGTTTGTGTCCTCCCGTTACCCTGAGGAGAACTATGGGGAAAAACACTGACCCCATAGTTCTTCTTTAACACAATACAGTTTACTCTGCTATCCTAGAATAGAGTATGTCAATATGGGGTTAAAGTGTATCTAAACCCAAGAATAATATGTATTATAGAGCCGCTTACCAGTCCATAGATGTCAAGGCTGCATTCGTTTTTTTGCAGGCTAAGAACATTTTTGCAATTACAGAAATATTCCTTTTAATCCTGCTGCAAATCATTTTCCCTTGGTACTTTCTGTGCACTGAATTGAAAAATAAAACTTATCAGCGTTCCCATCTATCTTCTGTGAACTACAGGGCATCACCTCCCTATGTAATGGAGGTGAGAAGAGGTAGAGATGTTTGTACCGTATATACTCGAGTATAAGCCGACACGAATATAAGCCGAGGTACCTAATTTTACCACAAAAAACTGGGAAAAAATATTGACTCGAGTATAAGCCTAGGGTGGGAAATGAGGCAGCTACTGGTAAATGTACAAAATGAAGATAGATACCAATACAATTACATGAATATTTATTTAAAAGAAAAACAATAACCTAGCTCTGTAAGTGGAAAAGGGGGTACAGGGCTACATATCATGTACTACGGATCATTTAACCCATTCATATTAGCAGAGGATAATTGTAAATCTATTGTTCAGTGCATTCTATATGTAGTATATAGTACATGTACATATAGAGTGCCTGCAACAATACATTTACAATGATCCTCTGCTAACATGAATGGGTTAAATGATCCATAGTACAGGGCTACATACAGATCATTTAATCCATTCATGTTAGTATAATTGTAAATGTATTGTCTGCACTGTATTAGCAGTATATACTCTATATAAAGTATATACTGCTAATACAGTGCAGACAATACATAATTGCTTAATAAATCCCCCCCAAATCTGCCCTCACTCACTGTGTGACTGTGCCGGAGAGAGCAGGGACGAGTCAGCGGCGTGGCTGGTCCAGTGGGAGGAGCTCCAGGTGGGGTCCTAATTTAGCTGACTTAGAGGTGCCTGCCAGCTAAATTACAACCCCACCTGGAGCTTTCTTCTTACTTACCTCGCCGAGCGTCGCGTCACTGCTGCTCCGGTGGGCGGCGCTCAGAGCTGGGTCATCTGGCAGTCTCCGGCCACCTAAATTAGGACCTGGAGACTGCCAGATGACCCCGCTCGGAGCGCCGCCCACCGGAGCAGCAGTGACGCGACGCTCGGCGAGGTAAGTAAGAAGAAACCTGACCACTTTCCTCAGTGCTCGAGACGCTGACTCGAGTATAAGCCGAGGGGGGCATTTTTCAGCACAAAAAATGGGCTGAAAAACTCGGCTTATACTCGAGTATATACGGTATTTCAAATTAGGAGCACATCCTCTGGTGATACCGTAATGCTGCTCCTCTATAGATACAGTGCAGTAAATGAATGTTGTCACCTAAGAACAGGAAGCGTATTACTGGCAAGATCACCAGGTAAAACTAAGGGGAAAAAAATGAAAAATTGAATTGAATGCAGCCACTGCATCTATGGAGTGGTAAACTGCAGTATATTACATTTTTGGGGGGTTTAGGTACAATTTGACCTTGTAATGGATATTTGACAGCCACCAGCCTAGGCAATCATCTTCCATACAAAGTATAAAGACCTATGAGCATAGAAAGACTCCCAAACAATTCTCCACAGAGAACCTAAGTAAAATTTTGAATGCTGCATGTATAATCCATATAATAAATAAAAACTCTTTCAAAGTGAAATAACCTGTTTTTTTCTGCAAAGATTATCTCTCACCTCATTAATTATAGGAAAAACTGGCAGAGTGCATGCTTTGTCTGTAAAAGGATCTGCCGGTTTAGGATCTATATCCATTGCGTCGCTGTTGTTAATCTCCGTCTTGATTGCACTTTCTGAAAAGTAAAAATACAAATATATCAGTTTCCTTTAGGTTTTTCTAAAATCATCTGTTCTGTATACATTGTTGAAAGCATCACTGCCTTCTCTCGATATAGAAACACTTGTGTAGCACTCACCCCTGAAGGAGCCGCTGGAATAACCCGGGTCACCCATAGCCTGTCTAGTGATTATAGCAACCCGCTGCCCCATTAGCATTAACTGCCCTCTTCTAGTGACCCACATAGTTGATATCCAGGCCAGAGGTATGATGCTGAAGAACTTTATTAACATATTCACACTGGGAGAGAGGGTATAGGGGGCCTAGACATCCAGGGCAGAACAAACACAGACTCTGGACACACCAGCCTCTTTTAGTAATTCAGTGTAGATCCACTTGTAGCACAGTTGACACTATGTATATGAGCAGCAGATGAGCAGGGATTGGCACAAATTCTCAGTAGGAAAGACACCAGAAATGCTCCTGAGGTCCTCTATTTTCCAGGCACCTCCAGCAGCTATCAGCTTCCCTGGTTCTCCTCCTTCAACAACAGCAGAACCCTCCCTCTAGACTTTAGGCCTAACAGAGCATTTTCCACCATCAGGTATTCCCACCCCCAGGCCTAGCCCAGGGGCAGACTGGACAGCACTCCAACCAGAACTAGCACATGGCTGGAGCCATACTGAGCACACAGCAATTCCTTTGAGTATATATGCCCTGTCCCAGCATGCAACACTGGCCATGAGAGTCCCAATGGTTGGCTGATGAACTGCACACACACTCAAAGTGTCCCTCATTGGATGTCCCACACTGCAGCAGAGTCACACTCCACTCAGGCAAGTACAATCAATGCCAGAACACCTGGAATTAACCATATAAATGCCAACTATATTTCAGCCAGACTGACTACAGCTCTGGCAATCACTACATTTCTAGTAACCACTCCACTAAAGCTGGTAGGGGCTACACTTGTATACATGGAAAGAAAAATTTAGCAATTTGGCTAGTAGTTTTGTGTGTTTCAAAAAATGGTGTAAAATTCATTTCAGTACAGCGTTGCATGACGGAATAAACGTCAGTCAAAGTATCGCAGCGCTGAATACTGAAAAATGGCCTGGCCAGGAAGGGGGTCTAAACACCTGGTCTTGAAGTGGTTAATGGATGGTTCTTCATGTCTTATTCAATAAGGGCATAGGATTTTTTTATGATTGAAAAGGCAATTGCAGCCTTGTGTTTGACATGGTAACCTTTTTCAAAATACATCGACTGCATATAATGCAGATATGGGTTATTATATGGGTACATCTACAATGCAAGCCATTTGTTGCCTAATCATATATCTATCAACTTTGAGCAGTGATTCTGATTATTAACAGACATGACTAATGCTCAATGCTACTCAATAAGCAGAACAAATATCTGGGCTATATTTTATTAGACATGTGCACCGGCAAAAAATGTGTTTAGTTTCGTTTCGGATTTTGCGTTTTTTGGGGATTCGGGTCCGAAAGTCAATTCTTTTCGGGATTCGGACGAAATTCGTTAGCGCTAGTCTGTACAAAATATCGTTTAGTTTGTTTGTAGCAGCAGTGACATTTGAGAAAAGAAAAAACATTTCAGTGTGCTGAAGAGGAAAAAAAAGGTTCTCTCCCGATTCATACCGGACCCTTTAGGTCTGGTAGGAATGTTAGGAGGGACCCCCCCCCCCAAGTTAAAACACACAAAAAAGTGCGTGGGGTTCCACCCAAAATCTATACCAGGCCCTTTAGGTCTGGTAGGAATTTTAAGGGGGAACCAGCCCCCAAAAATGGGGGGAAAAGTTGGGTCCCCCCTAACATTCCTACCAGACCCTTGAGCCGAGCACAGGCAGGGCAGGAAAGGGGGGGGTGATCGAGTGGCCCCCCTCCCTGCGCCTTACCAGGCCACTTGCTCTCGGCATTGGGAGGGTGTCCCCATGCCGATGGGGACAAGGGCATCTTCCCCACAACCATGACCTGATGGTTGTGGGGGTCTACGGGCAAGGGGGCTAATTGGCATTGGGGTACCCCCTTGCACCCCTAGCCATTCACTAAAGGTTTTAAATAAAATAGTTATTAAAAAGTCCAGACTCTTAGAAAAAATCCTTTAATTGAAAAAAAAAGAAAGAGTCAATTTTTGACAAATCCTTTAATTAAAAAAAATGCCTACATCGATGTAATCCAGCGTCAATCACGATGCACAACGCCCGCCGATCTGCATGATCTCCCGAATGCCATTTGGGTCTGTGAGCAGAGGTGTCATAGTACTTTTCATATGCAACGAACGAACGATACGAAAACGGAACGACACTTCGTTCCGTTTTCAGTATCAGAAATTCAGATTCGTTCGCATTCGTTATATCTGTAATTCGGAATTCGGATACATCCGAATCTCCGAAATTTCGTCTGAATTTTGATTCGGAGCGAAACGAATCGCACATGTCTATATTGCATATTCACATTTGACTATTTGACTTTTCAGAATACACTATACTTTTAGTATACTAAATAGTAATATTCATACAATAAAGTGTTGTGTGGAAGGATTCAGTTGCAATGCCAATTTTCATGCAATAAGGTGCTTGTAAGTGTTTAACCGTGAGTAATTATTGATAGCATGGCTTTACATTTAAACATGTTGTCATTAGAAGAGCCATGGTCATTCATTAATGTTTTAGTGGCTGGATTATCTGCTCTTTGTTTGAAAAAAATAATATATAGGCCAAAGGCGTGACAGGATGGTAAAATGAAATACATATGCACAAAAAAAGCTACACTATTGTTCCTCAGATGTCATCCACTATCCTATTGCTGGTAAGTACAGTATTTTCAGCACCCCTCTGGTCATGGCATGAGGGGTCCACAGGGATTTTTTCTCTTTCCTCCTTCCAGATGTCACCAGACATCTGGCTGTCACAAGATTTCACAAGCCCTTTCAGTATGGCATGCTTTAATATTTGAATATGAAAAGGAAAAGTGTGATTTCTTTCCTGACATTACTGTCCTTGTACTTTGGAAGCTTCTGTTATGTCATCTTTTTTCTATAACAACATGGTGCTCATTTAGCCTAAGGCTGACTAAAACTTATGCAACCTATATATTTTGGTAATCAAATACTCTTTATAATATGCAATTGATTGTATTTTAAACTCCGTAGTATAGCTATTGAAGCAACATTTGACATTCTCACTTACTTAGACACTTGTTAGAGGTAAACATTGAGAGAATGTTCTTGCAGTCATCCTCCTGGTCTCCACTTCCTTCACAAGTGCACCACAGAGATATCTCCATAGTTGAGTTATTAATGAAGTTCGGGGTCATTACAGTACCTATGCAGGACATAAACCAAAGTTAATAATGCACTTGTTTAAAGATAATTTAACACTAACTCTATAGTTCAAGCCCCACAACATATCAGCAACATAGTATCTCTTCTCAGCCACAGGTCTATTATAAAATGGCACTGGGATTTGGTAGCAGTTGTAGATCTGACTGGTGTCTATTGCAAGAACTGCAGACTGTCAATGTCAGCCCGTGATCATGCACAGGACCTGAAATGCTCAGGTCCTGAGTATCTGATGCTGCTGCAGGTTGATCTTTCACATTGTATTTACACGAGAAACCCCAACAATATATCTCTGACCTAATCAGGTTTTGCTTTGTTTTAAAGTGGAAGTTTACCCTAGAATTACTTTATGAACATTAAACAGCCATATAACACATGCACCTAGATAAATGCATAGCAACATGTTTGATTTCTGTCAGTGCTCCAGTTTTGCATTGGAAACTGTCAGCCATTAACCAGCAACACCATGTAAGTCATGATGTTGCTCAGCCTCAGGTGTGCTATCAATGATTGATTACAGGGTACATAGGAAGTAATTCACAGTCAAGCTTTGTAATAATGTAGATATCATAGGGGGCTGATGATACTATCAGTTGCATGAGGTTACTAGTAAATGGCTGGCAATTTCCAGTGCTGATTGTAGGAAACTGGAGTGTAGGCAGAAGTTAAACATGGCGCTATTAATTTATCAAGGTACATATGTTATATGGCTGTTTATTGTTCGTAAAGTATCCCCAGGCCTAGCCCGGGGGCAGGCTGGACAGTACTCCAACCAGAACTAGCACATGGCTGAAGCCAGACTGTTTTATAGATACAAAAAAAAAGAAAACAAAGAAACAAATAAGAAAAAACTGTAGCAAAAAACAAACATGGCTACTGTATAATAAGTATTGAACACACTACTCTTTAGAACCTCCCTTTTTATTATGCATGTTTTAAATGATAATTAATAACAGTTGAGAAATGATGAATAATAACAGTTATGACAGGTAATTATATGACACTTGAAATAAAAAATCTTTACAAATATAACAGTATCTCACCTATCATTCTCATGTAGGACTGTATGCACTGACTGTGATTTTCTTGAGGGCAACTGCCTGTCTTTTTGTTAAGGAGTTGGCAATGTTTTAGGTAGTCAAGAAAACGTGATCTGAAAGAAGGCAGGTAATCAATATAAAGAAATATAATCAATATAAAAAAATGTCAGTTGCATCTTAAATATCCAACACAGAAGCTGACAATACATTGGAATGTCTTTTGTCAGTTGCCATAAATATGACAGCTAATTCTGCTGTGAGTGCCAAGTCTGTATATTTTAAAGGGAAAATGTGTAACTTCAGTGGACACATATGCTTAGCTAATATTGACAATATTATTTACCTTCATGCAATTTTGTGTGTGATGTTCCCCTTTTTTACAAGCTTCCACTTCCTATTTCGACGATTAAATGAAGAGATTTGTAGATTAGCTACTAGAGACATGATAGATTAACTACTACAGTGACTCTGCCTAAGTGTCTAAAGTGCGTGTCTAATAAAAAAAAAAAAATCAGTACTAGGGATGAGTTTATCTACCTGAGTTCAATTCGTGTTGAGCTAGTCGAATTCTGCGATCTGCATTCCTTGAACTTAGCTGCGAACCTTACTGGAGTCGGGGGGGGGGATAACTTGATGCTAAATTCTGGGCATTTGCAAGGTTAATAGGCAAGCTTTTGTAACATAAAAAGGGCATGGGAAGTTAATCACTGCCATTGAGGACATGCAAACATTTACATTAACAGCAAAACAAATGTTTAGAAAAAAAGAAGGAAAGCTGGGGTTTTGTAGGCATCTAAATGACAACTTCCAGACCAATGAATTTATAAAAATATACTATTTATTCGTATCAAATTAATAAAATGATTGAATTGAAATATGTAAAAAATGACAACATGATTATATATCTCCCTGAAAAGCTCCCTCCATTTCTGTTCTGTCCTTCATATATATATAAATAACATGATTGGTAAAATTACAAGGCATGATGGTAGAAAGCCATGATTAGACATAATTAACACGATTTGATAATCTGACTTAACAGAAACATGATTGTTGGTAATTTGACATGATACAGCGTTATCGAAGGTTTGACAGAGGAGGAGCCTAGTTTTCTCTCAACGTTTCGCGCTTAGGGGCGCTTCTTCAGGAGAGGGAGGTTGTCATTCAAATGGATCAGTGTGTGTGTGTGCATCTCTGTGCAGGCCCGTCCAGGCACAGCACCTGGGTCACAATCACCGGAGCAGATGAGGGGAGAGAGGCCCGGACCACGAATCCCACCCAGAGCAGCATAAACTGAGAGGCATTGAGGGTAGCCAAAGTCCTGGAACTGCTTATTTCCCCGACCAGAACTGAGGGGTGTCCGTCCTCCTTTCACTGTGGAGCCCCAGCACAGAATTCCTACTGAATCTAAAGCATAATATTTTTTTAGAGTACTAAATAAATATCTGTACATTTTAAATTGTGACTTTCTGTGAAAATGGCAAAAACTGTATTTTTATTTTAAAAAACTCTGGATCAACAGTGGGTAATTGTGGGCATAGCGTTCTGTTTAGGCTTTTCTTCTTTTTGTTTTTTTCATACCTCTATAGGTTGAACTTGTGTCTTTTTTCAACATGACTAACTATGTAACTATGTGTGTTATTTGTGTGTGTGTAATTTTTTGTGTGGGGGAGAGAGGTTTGTGTATTTTTAATTTTATATTTTAATTTTAATGTTATGTTTTCATTTATTTTACTTATATTTTCTTTTATCTTAAGTATGATCACCAGGTTGGTGACAGTATATACACCAATTGTGACAGGTCGTTTTTGGAGAATTGAAAGAGAAAAGCTGATTGGTTGCCATGCACAGCTGCTCCAGATTTTGTCTGCTCCAGTTTTGATAAATTCCCCTCAGAGTGTTCAATCTCCTTTTTCCCTGTTGCTCGGTGGTTACTAATGAACACTGAAGTACTATATACTGAGCTCTTCCGTGTTCATTTACAATCTGAAGAAGATTGTTAAACATGAAAGACATGTTTACCGACCTCCCTGCTCATCATCCTGAACAGAAGTAACCGATAAGGCCAGCATGAAGTCAGGACGTGACAGCGATGGTTGAGGGGGCAGCGGCACTCCAAGTGAGTACATAATCAGCCCTCCTGAGCTATGTCAGAGGGCAGTGAAAAGTGCAGGAGATGACACTGCAGAGTGAGAATAGAGGGGAGAGGAATGGTCACATTTATTTCAAATGGCTGCAATCAGAGAATGTTACTAAGTAGCTGATCACAGATATTTATTAATAAGGAGGGTTGAGGGACCCTTCTAATATAAGTTCAGGAGAGTTACTGTGTAACCTTCTGTAAGGGTTTGGTACACAAGCAGAAGGTAGTAGTATAGGAGCAGGCAGAAGTGTAGTCAGAGAACAAGCCAAGGTCAGTAGTCAAAGGTATTAAGTATGAAGCAGAAGACGATGAGAGTAGTCGGTGAATCAGCAGCCAAAGGTCGGTACACGGGTAGAAGTATGAGAGGATTGTATCATAGAAGAAGCAGGAAGCAAGATATTGGCAGGAGCACAATAATCTGGCATACAGGAAGTACAGAGGCATGGCTTAAATACTAAGTTCAAGGTAGAAGCAAGGAGTTCAGAGTTCAGCAGAAACTACGTTTACTTGAGGATTACACATTATTATTATTTTACAGGATTTATATAGCGCCAATAGTTTGCACAGCGCTTTACAATATAAGGAAGATATTACAATCACAATACAATTCAAGACAAGATGGTAAGGAGGGCCCTTCCTGTGAGGGATTACAATCTAAAAGGGAGGGCCCTGTGTAGCTGTGTGGGGATGAATTGCTTGAGAAAGTGATAGTTCAGTGGTTAGGTTGAGGTGGGATAGGCTTCCCTGAAGAGATAAGTCTTAAGGGATTGCCTAAAGGCAGTCAGAGTGGGTGATAGACATACACATGAGAGCAGGCAAGAAACTATCCAAGGTTTCAAGGTGGCTCAGCAGGTAGAGCCACTGCCAGACACAGCAGAGGCCCTGGGTTCAGATCAGGATCCTGACACTTAGTCTACATATCATTTACCCTGTGTTTCTATTAATATCTTTATGTATCACCGGTCCTCAAGAAGCAGTGTTTTAATACTGCAAAATGCAACATCAATCATCATATTGTTGATCCTTTCCTATCAACCTGACAACTGTATAACTTTTGATTTTAAACGAATACCGATCTATATGTATAAATGTGGAGATATACTTTGGAAAGGCACCGTTGGAGATTTTTAAAATTAATTATGTATGCATTGGGTTGCTACCGCTTATTACCTTTATGAATTTGCTTTTAAAGCCATGAACAATGTTCAATTTCCAAGACTGTATCAATTGTTTAGGTGTTATTTAATTATACAAATTGGGTGATTTTAGAAAAAGAAATAAGATTTGATCCTAGTAGCACCTGTAAATGTACTATCTAGGATTATGGAAGTTTACATGATTTGCAGCCAAGTGCTATTGCACTCCAAAGACAATAATGGAACCTGGGGTGTCTGCACACTGTACAGATGATATATGCTTCTGCAATACACAAGCATGTGTGTAATGATTTCAGAGCTCATCTGATAGGGAGGAGAGACAGTCAGTTGTGTAGGAGCTTAGGTTCCCTGCTCTCTTCGGGTTTGGTCACAATTGTAACTGCTGCAAACCCCAAACAATGTTATTATAATAAAATTAGTTTTTTCATTAAGACAACACCAAACTCACTTGCATAAATTATTACTCAGACAGGTGTCACGGAGCTCCAAGCAGTTTTTCTTGACCTTTTCCTCAAAAGAACACTTAGGCACAATATTTTGTCGTCTGCGTTCTGCACAGTTACTTTCCTGGTTGCACTCGCAAAATAAAAGCCTCTTTGTAAATTCCATCGGCACTTTTTTAAAAAATTCTCTGAGATAATGGTGACATTTATGTCGGTCACAGGATCTGGCACAGTGCATTCCATAATCACTCCTTAATTTGAAGCACTTGCGGTTGGAACTGCAAATATTTGCTTCCTTCAAGCAACCATTTGTCTCTCTATATTGGGCACGATCTGGAAAGAAAGAGGGAAAACTGCTATGGACCACTATGGATGACTAAGTAGACAATGCTAAAAGCATTGAAGATTTAAAAAAAAAAAACTAAATACAAAAACTGCAACAACAGGTATTTTAAAATGCATAAATGTTCTATTAATTTACTATAATATGTATATGTAATAATTAATTTTAACATTGTTACTTGTATATGTGTGTCAGAGCATGTGCAGGTGCGGCAGCCCTGGCATTTCTCTGGATCATTTGACCAGAGACTGTATTAACAAATACATTGCTGTCCTAATTACTGCTCTGCTGGACAACTTTGTGAACTATATAAGAATGAAAAGGACCTCTGTGTACTGTATTATATTTGTTTTGAGCAAATTAATAAAATAAAATATTTAAGTGCCAAGAGCAATAAACATTTCCAAAAAAAAACAAGTCAAGTAAATGAAAAAGATTTCTATTTGGCATAGTTGGATCAGTTAAAGGGACACTAATCTCTGGAGTTAAATCTGAAAAATGCATTCTAATACGTAAACTCATAACAAAAATGTATCTTATTTGTGTATCACTCATCTGTAAATCCTCAAATCAACTCTGAATTGGTGTTGACACTGTCCTTCTTTCTGGAGGGTGACTACTTTTGTTCCCCATTGTCCCTGTGTGTTATAAAGTAGCCACCGCTCCAAGATCACTTGCGTGATGGACTACAATCTCACATTTAGTTTACTAATTTGTATTTAAGTTGTAGTCCAACACAGGAGTGAGCTTGGAGCGGTGGCTACTTTACAACACACACAGGGACCATGGGGAGTTAAAGTAGTCACGCTCCAGAAGGGAGGAAAGTGTCAGCATGAATTCAGAGATGATTTGAGGAGCTACCGCTGAGTGATACACAAATAAGATACCTTTTTGTTACCATTTAAGGTACTTGGATGCATTTTTAAGATTTAAGTTCTGAGTTTAGTGTCACTTTAAAGATGGCCGGGTTACTGAATATGCATAGCAGAGTGGCAATAATGTGTTAAATTCAGTAACCTTTATGCAATTAATGAAGTTTTAAGTTATTGTAGTTAAATTAGGTGAACTCTAATTCGTTCTTAGTGATTTTAGTACTTTACAAATTTTTGGGATTAAAATAACTAACCAAGCCTGGTTGTTATTATGTGTAAATGAAAATATTTTAAATTAGAAGAAGAAAAGCCCGATGAAAATATTTACAAATATTTAAATGAACAAATACATTGAAAATGTCACAAAGGAAAAAGATAAAATCTACCAGCAGCCAGATGAGCATGTTCATCTGCCCCCTTCTTGTCTACTTTCTCATCTACATATGGAGAGTTGTATGAATCCAGGTAACCTGTGTACAGAAAACAAAAGTTTAGCACAGGCTTAAATCTGCGGAGGGCATTTTGTCATGAGTTTAGGTTAATATAATAATGCACAATAAATCACCATGGCCAGAGAGGAAGCAAGTATTCCATCTTCCATGAAGTGTAGCTTACTTACAGTGACTGTGGAGCGGAAAAGTAGTAGGTTTTCAATACATGGGTTTAGCCATAGGCAAGGATAGGCATATAAACACTTTTCTTTACAGGTTACAGCAGCTTCTACATAGATAGTACTTCTCTGGGTTCTTTTCTTGGCTGATTTAAAGCGGAGAAAATCCCTTGCTTTTTAGAGTGTCATACACATAATTTAAAAAATAAACCACACCTCCAGCTGAATCACAGTGGAAGTATAGCAATAAATCGAAGAATAATACCTATAATAGATAAGCTCATGCAACGTACAGGATCCTTGGTCTCATCCTGAAGCACAGTAAAGAGCTGCCATAGGGCAGAAGGCACATTTTAGTTTCTCTTTGTTACTGGGGCCTGACATTATCTACCTTTATCACCAAGTGATCTCCTTCCCTGTTCATTGAGAATGCCCCAGTGGCCATCAAGAGTACTCTCACTGGACAGGGAGGGGGGGGGGGGGTTGGCCATTCAAGGAGCTTAGACATGATGTCAGGAAAAGTAAATCAAGGCAGCTTTTGTAGCTAATAAAAGTAATAGCAGGCATCTTGTGGTATCTCCTCTTAGGCAGAATGTTAATCAGATTGTGGTTGATTCCAGTATCTCAGAAAAAAACAGATTTGCATCTACAATAAGGAAAATAATAAGCTGATAAAATGAAGTGATACATTGTTTGTCTCAAGGATTAGCAATTCATTGTGTGGACAGGTTTAAGTTGAGAAGAGTTGTTTTTTCAATTAAACATTACTTTATTATAATCTCACCATTCTTTATTCTGCTGGGCACTGTGGACAAAACACGATGGTAAGTTAAACTGCAACAATTAAAGGATTTTATTTCTCAGGCTAAAAACATTTTTAGCAAGTACAGAAAATACTTGTTGGTCATACCAGAAATGAAGTCCCTCATCCCTAGTCACTCATCCCCATAATTCGCATAATATTTTAGATTGTAAGCCCTCAGGGGCAGGGCCCTCCTTACCATCTTGTCTTGAATTGTATTGTAACTGTAATGTCTTCCTTATATTGTAAAGCGCTGCGCAAACTGTTGGCGCTATATAAATACTATGTAATAATAATAATAATAATAATAATTCAAGCCCACCTATGACAAAGAAGCTGTCACAGGTCGGCTCTATTGATCGGGAAGTCAGCAAACACATACCGCCGATCACTGACTTCCCACTCTTCTCCCTGCAGAGAGTGGTGACTCTCCCCCACGGACGGGGAGGGGGCGTGCACAGCTGACTCTGCCTCTAGATAGACAGAGCACGCTGCCAAACAGCCAGCTGGGTGGATCTCGACAGCATTTTCGGGATCCATCCCAGCTTTGGCACTCTCAGCATATAGCCCGCTATATGCTGAGCCTTGGGTCACTCAAGGACACAGTATAAGGAGAACTATGGGCAAAAAAGGTTGCCCTGTAGTTCTCCTTTAACACTGTAAGCTGAATTTAAAGCACAAACAATGTCATCTTTTTTTCTGTAAACTAGAGAGGACACTATCACTAAACACTGTAATGGGCAGGTCACAACAAAAACCTTCACTAGGCTTGCAATGATTGACATTTCTGTAACATATCATTGGTAATTCTAGCTCTCCTAGCTTCTTTCAGCAACAAAAACTTGAGGTTCCAAAGATGATAACCCTGTAGCAAATCAATATGTTGGCTGGCTGCAGCAGCAAAGTCATTAGTAGCATTTTCAACCTCTTGGACAACAATGGGTGATAAATACATTGTCCTTGTTGGAAAATTACTATTGCTGGAGCCATTGAATACACCTCTTATGTCTCCCTACCCTGATAACAGCATTAACTTAATGTTAGGGAGCTTGGTGCCTGTGTTTGGGGAGGGGCAGGGGGTTCAAAGCATTAGAAATCATACGATGAACAGTATTGCATGTAAAGACTCCTGATGCACATCAGCAGCAACAATATTGGATGTAGCCATAATCCTGCACATACAGAGGCACATGCTTATGATCTGTCTTTCTATCTGCCTCAACATCTGTTAAGATGTTTTTTTTAGGTTTGACATCACAGTACCTCTAAAAGTGAATTATAACATATGTTTTTACATCTGGCCTAACAGACTAATACATTTTTTGTTTAATAATGGAAATTCAAGCTGCTTCACATGCTGGCTCATGTATATGTTTGATACAGTTGTGCCTTCTTCTGATTTACAATTGTTAGCGCTGCTCCATAACTAATGGTAAACAGGGACTTCTGCACTATTTTATCTGATATATTAATAAAATGGTTAATATGTGCATGACCATAATATAAAATCAAAATGTTGCTGAACTAAATTTCTAATGAACAAAAACCCAATGCATAGCAACCTTAAGTTGAGTGAAACAGAGACTCACCATAAACATAGTCTGGGTGAAGAGTCCAGTAAATATTCAAACAATGCTCTTCCTTCTTCATTCGTCGTTGACATTTGCATTGCATTACAGAGTTCTGGGAAAGAACCTCAGCTGCTTCTTTACACTTTACAGAATTAACTTGGTCCATGACATTTGTGCGGGAGCAGTTCTTGAAAGCATGGTAGCTGACCTTGCAGCGAGAATCTTGCAAACATTTCTCTTCAGCCAAAATGCAATCAAATGGTTCCGTAGAGTTCGCAGATAAGAAGTCAACTGTCAAAAGTCAATGTCATACTAATTAGCTGATTGCAAATTTATTTACCATTACCGTATGTGCACAATAGAAGACAGTCCCCCACCCTGATTGATTTTGATTGGATCTACAACACTAAAGCAATACTTTGGTAGGCACTGGAATCCCAGGGTAATAATACTAATGGAAAAGCTTCAAAGGCTTCCCATTTCAAGGTATTTTGTAGTGTTTCTTTTGACTGAATCTGTTCATGCTAATGGATAGAGCCAGACACTCCTAATCAACAAACCTTCGGGGAAAAAACAATTGTTTCTTTTGGAACAATAATTGTTGTTTCCTTCTGGATAAGCCACCAGTGAAAGCAGGTAATAACTGCCTCTCCCTGTGTGGCTGAGCTTTGTAAATCTCAGGAATGAAAGTACAAAAATAGAAACTAGTTGGCAGGTAAAATGTTTGTCATATATGTATTTGATCTGTGCATTTAGATGTTGGAGTTCAAAATCTCTCATCTGCATTCTGTTTGACTCACAACACACCTGCCCTATACTATGAGCCGCACTGCTTTTTCCAACCATCAACCTCACACACAGAAGGCCATATGGAAGAATCGTTTCCCATATATTCCCTCCAGATGGAAAAGCATTTGTTTACATAACGACTTGGTTAAACTGCCCTTATCAGGAAACAATAGGGTTAATTTATAACCTGCGATCGGTGTCTTGTACATATTTGCCCACTATTCTGTGAAAAGTGACCTTTGCTGATACGGCACTTTTAACAACAGGTGATAGTTTGTATTTCTGATCCAAATGTCTGCTGTTGTCAAAGTGTTAACTGTTAAGCTAAATAGTTTATTTAACTTGTGCTCATTTTTCATTCATCTGACATAAATGGAAAAGATTGCTTATTGTGTAACATGCCTCTTGTTTGAACACATTTGACTGCAGCTGTTCATAAGAAATGTTAAGGTTAATATAAAATCTCCAGGTGGTTCTTATCATTCTTTGTTTATTAAGTGACATTTGAATGGTTTTTTTGTTTTGTTTTTTTATTGCTTGTCAAGCTGTTTCGATGTACTTCTTGTCTGTGCTCATCCTCATTCAAGATATCCATACATTCTTATGTATTGTTTACTGGATGGGTGCAGAATTGTTGGATCTTCTCTTTATACAACTGCGTTCTATTGCTTCCATATTTCTGTGTTGTGGATTGAATTCTCAACTTGTGTTTTTATGCATAAACATCTGCAGAGTATCAATTCTCTGTTGCTTTCTAATTCTGCATGGAGGATTACATTTCCTGCATATTGCATACACACAAAACCAGTACTACTTGGATCCAGACTCAGCATTCAGTGTCCTTATTAGGGGAGGTCTGGGAACCTTTGGCTTTGGGACAACTACAACCAAATGTCCCTTTTTATAATAGATTTCTTAGGCTTAAGAAAGTCAACCATGCAAAGTGTACCAGGTTTTCAAGGGCATGGTAAGAGCTGGGTTCTTCAATAGGCCATGGTTTACAGGACATACCTACATCTTTCAGCATCAGCTTCCTTTGTGGCTCTTATCATTTGGTCATATGATATCTAAGAGCTGCACAGAAAGTTGGTGCTAGAGACTTACTTCTGCTAGAAATGGTAATGAAAGGTCTGAACAGGAAAAAGGTAGTTCTATATTGCTCAGCATGTGTCACCAACTGGGGGTTCCACTCTGATCGATATTTAAATGGTGAAGTATCTCTGAAGTAGCACATCAGTACTAGATTATGAATTCACATTGATTTTGATTTTTTTTTTCTATAGGTTGGAATTTAAAGCCTTACTCCAGCCAAAACTTTTTTCTATGTTTTAGCTTTGGATAGAGTAGGGAAGAATTAAAGGAGAACTATGGGGTCAGTGTTTTTCCCCATAGTTCTCCTTGGGGTAACGGGAGGACACAAACTAGCGTCCTCCCGTCACCCTAAGCTCAGTATACCGCGAGCTACAGCTCGCGGTATACTGAGACGCCGCACCTGGAGCGGATCCCGACTTAGATGACGGGATCCGCCCAGCTACGTGAGTGACAGCTGGCTCTGCCTATCTAGAGGCAGAGCCAGTTGTACACGCCCCCTCCCCCGTCCGTTCCGCCAGTCAGCGCTGGCAGATCGGAGCGGGGAGAGGGGAATCCAGCCCCTCCCCCTGTCACGGCAGAGAGCCGTGACAGGATCGAGAGGTGAGGGAACCCGGTATGTTTTCCCTCACCTCCCGATCTACTGAGCCGACCTGTGACAGTCTCATTGTCACAAGTCGGCTTAGAACTATGACGTGAGTGGAAATCACTCATGTCATAGTTCTCCTTTAAATCTTCTCTCAGGTTTAAAGAATACCTGTGCTTAGATATATAAAGACTGCAATTGCTGACCTATGTCTGAAAATGATAGTTGAATGGCTGTATTGATCTACTTTCTTGGTCTATCATGACTTGCACATTATGTATTTATCCATTACTCTGGAAGAAACTGAGGAAATCTGCACATAGACTATAGTAAAAGATGACAGAAATCAACCATTTACCACTATCCAAAAATGACTGTAGTTGAGCTTTTAGTATTCCCCTACTACTGTCCTCTGCACTATTGCAACAGGCCCAAGCATTGTCAGTACCAATGACCTAAAACTTAAAGACCTGTGCTTTGCCAATTCAGTGGGGAATAACAGGTTGCCCTTAACTTAACCTGATTCCTGTACTGCATAGTTGTTCTGGGTGAGTGACTCAGAAACTAGTGGGTTAAAATAGCAGCCAAACAAGGAAGTCATCAATAGCAGCCCTCATATATTTCCTATAAGAGAGATATTAGGGGTTGATTTACTAAAGGCAAACAGGCTGTTCACTTTGCAAGGGAACTTTTACTTTGCAGGGGACGTTTCCCCTTTGGTTTAGTAATCGAAGCAAAGCTGTTTAGACTTTCATCATCCAATCATGTGCAAGCAAAAATACTGTTTTAAATTGTTTTTGCACATGATTGGGTTTTTTTGCAAAGTGAAATTTCACAATATTTATCAAGTTAAGGGAAACTTCCCCTGCAAAACTCTATACTCAGATTTAGAGCTAGTTGTTACTTGTCAGGAACTGAAATACATGCATTCACCAATAATAATATATTTACTATGTTTTACTGTATTGTTCAGAGTGTAATTGGATGTCCAAACATAATCTAACGGCTCTCTACAACATTTGTCACCTAATTCTCACATAAATTTGAAGAGAATGGAGAAAGGGGAGAGGGAGCTCCTTAGGCAGATTCTGCTTGCACTACTTATCTTGGAGAGGTTGGAGCTCTGTTCAAAGTGTACAATCAATGTTCTCCCAATAGAGTGGACTTCTACCTTACTCCGCGGACATGATAACATTGCCTGATTTGGCCAAAAAAGAGTTGGGTTAGATGGAAATCAGGTCATGTCTAAGGGAAATTTTTAGGAAATCAAAAGGGAAGGGTTAGAATCTCTGATTGTCTTTATTGTGGTCTGTGTCCACATTGGGGACTGGGGAGAGTCAACCTCTCCAGTTATAGCTGGCACCAAGCCAGAAGGTGGAAAAATCTATAGTTTGAGTGCTGACACCAAAACAGTAGGGTAAGGAAAATCTCCCAATGAGGTGAAATCACCCTTCACTGTGGAGAGATTTTGACTCCTGAGAGGAAATCCTTCAACAGGAGACACAGACAGCAATAAAACCTCGGCACAAAACATAAATAGATAATTGCCCCAATAAGGGATATTCAATGGATGACCCTATACAAAAACATTTTTATTAACATTCGCAAAGGGCACACTAAATCAAAAACCATCTGAAAAAAAAAGTTTAAAACAACTAAAGACTAAAATAAACTTCCCCTAGGAAACCTGATAATTCGACAACTTGTCGTCCAATCATCCGCAAAGTATTGTGATTTATAGCTGGGCTTGCCAAAAGCTTGTTTTCTGGACTTTTACAAACCATTTTTATTCATGAGATGTCTTTACCATTGTTGAATATTAGGTAAGTGCCAAATTGTATTCATGCAAAATATGAAACAAATTGCCACCATATAGTTTCCTGGGTCACAAGCACTATATATATGGGCAGACAGAGTGTAATGTTCATTCTTACAGTGCAATCAGCACAATTCACTATACATACATGTTCCAAACATTGGGTGTTCAGCCAGAATGTGGATACTTCCACAATAAAGTGCAATCAACTCTGTCCGCTTAGCATATATATCACAGACATGAACTGTGCAGCCAAACTATGGTGTTGAACAAGTGTCGTTAGCCCAATCCAATCAGTGTGAGTATCCACAGCTTGTAAAAGTAAATATACAATCCACAACTTGCCTGCAATCTACCACACCCAGCATATGTATAAGGCTGGGCACACACCTTACAACCATCGCAAGACTTTTGTCTTGCGATGGTTGTAAGGTACTTAAAAAAACGTACGATCTGCCATGTTGCATAGGCAGATCGTACTTGCGATGATCGCAAGCCACGCCCCTTGAGGGGCGGGCTTCCGATGACCGCAATGCCGAAGGGCAGTGTGCGCTTGCGCACACCGGCCCGTACGGCTGTTATCGTACGGACATGCCACAAACCCGCCGAACATCGTACGATGCTCGGCGGGTTTTCAAACATGTCCGTAAGTTTAAAGTCGTGCGACCTTACAGTAGTAGAGGTCACACGGCTTCCACACACCTTACGATCATCGTACGATCGCGGGATTTCCCGCGATTATCGTACGATAATCGTAAGGTGTGTGGGGACCCTTAGTTCCTTTTTCATCGAAGTGTGTGGTGCACCAATCACAACTGTGGCAAAAAACACTCTATACCTGTACACAGGGTGCACCAATCGCAAATGTGGCAAAGAACACTCTATACCTGTATACCTGGTGAATCATAGGGTACTGTGGCAAAGAACACTCTATACCTGTATACTGGGTGTACCAATCACAACTGTGGCAAAAAAATTTTTTTACCTGTATAGCTGGTGCAACAATTGCAA